GCTCTACACTTTTGATGAGTGTCACTCGATAGACATTATGTAATTTTCATGCACAAAAAAGTTGCTAGACATGTGCCTTTCTTATCGTGCACCTCTAGAATTTTGTGTCGTGGACAATGTGATATTTTGTGCGCAATGTGATTGTTAGTGTTGCTAATGTCGCCATGGAGATAGCAGTTTTCAATCCACACTGACTCTGCCACAGCAGCAGCTCTTGGGGATCAAAGAGGACAGCGACCAGTCGAACTGCCTTCACCAGGCTGACTGGAAGCAGACATTTACTGAACTAAAATATTTTTCACATCAGCTCCATAGGAAGAAATCAACAGTGTTTGTATTTATCGATTCATTACTTAATTTCCCAGCCTACTATAGTGAGTAATGGAAATTTGTCGCTTACAGACAGACTGGAAACTGATCAATCAATCTAGATACAGTTCTTAAGTTAAAAACATGTATACAGCGGTATATTTGTGTGAATTAAACAGTTGTCTGTGCAAGTTACGCTACACTAAACGCGACAGAAACAGAAAATGCAGGGTCTCTGTTTACCACGCAGACAACTGAAAACCTTTCACAGAAGCATAAATTGAAAATGACGCATGACTATTTCATTTCTGTCCAGTGACACTTCTCAAAAGTGCTGTATGCTCTAAACAAAAATCAGGCTTTAGGGCATGGCTACCGTGTGATTGACAAGTCTCTGAACTGTGACCTGTCAATCTGGATAAAGCCATAGCAATGTACCATCCACAGCTCCAACCTCTCATCCAAATATGGTCACATCTGCCTCCAAAATAAAAAGAATCAAACCAAAAATAAGATGTCAAAGATAAAATACCAAACACAGGGCTTCGAAACAGGAGTCCACAAACCAATGGGTGATGTTATGGTGGCAACATCCACTTCTATTATACAGTTTATGACCACTACATTCAGTCACTCACTGGCAAACTGAACAAAGCACCACCAGGGAAAAAAACAGTCACTAGGAAGAATGTGGTAGTTTTAACCCCTCCAGTGGGAATTGATAAGATTTTATTGATACCAGTGGCACCATCGATTCTGCTTACTGGTCTGGTTCTTCATTGATTCTCTTATTGATTCCTCATAAGTTTTTTGAGTGGAAAAACAAGAGCTGCCCCTTGAAAGTCAGAGACTTGAGTCGTTAGTTGGAGACCCCTCAGTCGACTGAGATTGCTTCAAGTCAAGCAGTCGTTTTCTGTTGTTGTTTGTCTGTTTGTGGGTTTTGTTTTTTTTTTTTTTTGCTGGTGTGTTTTTTATGTGGACGTTTTGGTCCCCAGATTTTGACTTTCATGCTACTCTTTGGTACAGACATCTGCAGACGTGATGCAGCAGCACTGAGGAAGAGAAACTTCCCACTGTAAGGCTCCGAGATAACATTATCATGCTTCTCCTCGGAACTGGTGAAGTTACAGCTCACAGTGACTTAATATGACACAGTCCTTGGCTTTTGTTTGATATCTAGCATTAGCAAAAAGCGTTGCACATTTCTGATCTGTCGTTAGTGGCGTTAGCTTGTTTACTGTATAACATGAATGCTGCTGTCACACTGAACATACTGCTGAGCCCAGTTCAAACTTTAAAACTTTATATGGGGGAAAAACAAACAACCCATTGGTCAAGTATTTGTATTCAGTGGCTGAATCTGATTTGACTGACATAATTCTGAATTGGGTACAGCCCTAGAAAAAAAACGTAGTGTCAGTGCAACTGTTTTATTATCGGAGTCTGAACACAGAAGAAAAGCCACTGTTTTCATCTTTCTTTGTGAAACCCAGCTCGGCTTTGGATCTTTTCTTCCTCTCCATCATGCCTCCCTCTTTTTACAACTATCCAGCAGATGCATGAGTTTGACTTTGTTGTTTTGACATGCACAACTGTCAGAGAAACATGCCAGCATTGACAAAGGGAGTTGACAAGCTCGGAGGCACACAATTGAGATGAATTGGACATTTCAAAACCAATTCTTAACTGGTAACAGTTCTCGAGTCCACCCCTACCCTAGGGTCATACTACTAGAGTCTTACATTTGGAATAAATTGCCTGTATATGAACAGTTCAGCAAGAGAGAAGTGAAGGTTTCAGTCGTTCATCAAGTTCTAGATGTGTTAGACAGCACTAATCAAGATTTTTATTTTAGCAATTACAAAACTACCATAATGTACTGACAGAAATGTATTGCATGTCTTTACACTTCCCCCTCAGCTCTACAGAGCACTCCAGCATCTTTCAGCTCATTGTTTTGGTTTTACGGACCACAAGAAAACCTTACTGTACACTACCCGCTAAGCATCAAACCACAGGCAAAAAAGTTAGTGACAGTTTGACGAACATAGTGGAGTATTTCACAGCTCAAGAGCCATATATTTTCCTTGGTGAAGAGATAAACAGAGCTGAAAAACAGAGTGAATATTGGACTTAAACTCACCAGGTTGCCAGAAACCAAATAAATGCTAATGCTGCTGCGTGTCTGCCGGGTGTGCAATAGGCGACAATAACAAATTTGATAATATGTAAATGTTGTGTTTTTAGCTCGTTGTACTGACTCCTAAGAAATCTGGAGGTGCAGATTTAGGAAATTAAAAGGATGCCAGAACAACACCACACAAGGATTATTTTGTGTTTTCTAGTAAATCTCATCCATCCATGCCACTTTTTTTACTGCCAGTACAAATTCAGTACTGAGCCTCAGTATCACAAAGTCTACATGGGGAATCCAGTCCAGTCGTTACACAGAACAGCAGAACATTTAGCTGTTGCTTTGGAAGATTACACTCTGTTGAGGAAGATCTAATACCATATTTGTTGTTGAGAAAACAACCTGGTCTCACTCCCATCTCATCAAATCGCAAGGCTTGGTCAGTGACCCTTGGTGTGAGGTATCAATGCACTGGGCACCCTTTAGCGCCAGAATGGGACGCACCGGGCAACGGTATATTTTGACCCTCCAACCAAGTGGTGTAGTAGAAAGACTGAGAAGGTCCACATAGGGTGGGTGGGTCAAACAAACTCCAGACTTATATGATGTGTGTCATGTGACAAACATACTTATTTTAAGCCAAACCATGGTGGTTTTGTTCTAAACCTAACTACGGACTTTTGTTGCCTAAACCTGAGGAATAGACCTAAAAAAGTTTTTAACCTACATTCGAAGTTTATTCTGAAACGAAACTATACGCATTTGACATGTGGAAATTGTATATTTCCTTTTGATAATGGAATAAACAACTCTAAATTGACATGCCATCCCTGAGCATCCAACACTGACACTGGCGCACCCAGAGCGTCATAGATAGACTTGTTGACCAAGCGTCAGTGTATGAAGAATTAAGAGTGAGAATGTGTTGTTAAAAAAAGGCAGGCTCTTGGATCAGATTTTAATATTGTGGTGTCATTAAGTTACCTTCCTGTTAGTCTGATATTGCCCTCATATTGGGTTCAGCAAACTGATTGCACAGCCAATACAAGAGGACTTAAAGCTGCTTACAAGACGAGATTAATCTGTCAGAAATGATACTGTGGGGTTCAATTAAGAACTGCACACACCGAGGGTCTGCAAGTGTGTTAACAGCCAACACATGCTGTGCTAAATGCACTGGCACTAACATATCTTTTAACATATGTGCTGTGAAAAACTTAACAGAAGCTCGGTCAGCTGAGCTTCACACAGGTGCCGACGATTTCAAAACAGGCAAATTTGCTTCTGACGTGAAAGCGGGGCCTCTTGTTAGGATGAATGATGCCTGTAACAGATTTCAGGAAATGAAAAAAAAAAACACTGCCATTCAGGCTCAGGGATGATACTGAGGTCTGCAGGTTTTATTTTTTTTAATTTTGTTTGCCAATTTAACAATCTGAAAGATGCCTATTGAGGGTGTTTTTTCCAACCGCTGCTTGGTTTATTGTGTTTCAAATGGAGAGTTATATAAGCAGTGCTCCTCTCCTGCTGTCGGATGGGTGAATAAGAGGAGATCAAAAGGGAGGCGATAGAGAAAGAGTGTCTGCTGCCTTCTCCTCTTCTTTATTCTCTCCACATTCTGCCAATGTGCAGTTCCCTCTAACTGCATGACTTGCCCTGGATTCTCTCTTTCTCTCTCCCCCTCTCTAGGACATTACACTTTAATCTCATGTTCCCTCTCTTTTTTTCCTCTTGTCCCCCTTTTGGTCTCTTCGCCTCTCACACTCTTTTCTCTTGTTCATCACTCCATCCATCCATCCATCTCTGCCTTTCTTCTTTAATCCCATGTTCTGTACTGCTTTGGCCTGGAGAATCTCATTCTAATCTGCTGCCTCAATATGGCCCCGTATGACTGCTAATCCTGTGCATGTATATTCATGTGTGTGTGTGTGTGTGTGTGGATGTATGTTTGTGTTTACATCCAGCTGAGAGATGTTAGGCAGTTTTGCAGAAATGAGTTGGATGACGCAACATTTTGTTTGTGTTTTTTTAGTCAAGTTGACGTCCTGCAAAACACGCAGCATCAAAGCACAGCAAAGGCCTTTATGTATGAAGTGGTGGGGGCAGATATTGTGCCATCAACAGACAGTCCTGGCCCTTCTGACACACACACACACACACACACACACAGAAAAGAGACCACAAGCAATTATACACACATAAAAACCACACTGCTCACATGAGGGATGCAGGGAGGGAGCAGGAAAGAGCGATGGGAGAGATGAGAGAAAACATGCAAGTGGGAATTCTGTCTCTTTACAAAGTATAATCTCTCACTTTAATCTCCCTCTCTGCCTGTAACTCTCTGAAGCCCTGCTGTTTAAATCTCTGACTTTTTTCCCCTCTTTTTGCTCCAGCAGGTAGGTGCACAAATGAACACATAAAAATAAGCACACATTTCCCAACAAGAGTAAATATATATAAAAAAGAATCCAGCAGCTGACAGCCTTAACCTGCATGAACCGCTCACCCTTTTTCCTCTGCGAATGCACAGTCATCAAGCCGACACAGATCATACCTTTGTTATCCATTTTCTGCCTCTCTGCTGCTCGCTTCCCCTCCTCAAGGCATCCTTGTCAAATCATCCTCTTAACTTAATAGATAGCCTATTTACGCGGGGTCCGTAAAGTCCCGGTCAGCAGCCTGCACAGCCGGGAGAGGATGCTCGGTCTGCCCACACCGTAGCTCCGTGATGTGCACTAGTTATCTCCCACCCTGTTGTTTCACTCTGCTGAGGGTTAATGTGTTTGGAGCGTGTGTGTGTGTGTGTGTGCGTATGTGTGTGTGATGGAGATAGAGGAGGAGAGAAAGACACTAACCTCGGATAAAGTCCCGTCTTTTTTTCTCCTCTCCACCGTGGCTTCTCGCTGTCACTTAGCTCCCCTCTAACCTACGTCAACTTCGCTACTTCAACTCCAAAACGTCTTGTCATAACGTTACCGCTACACACTCCTCTTCTCCTCTCTGCTCCTTCAAACAGCTCCGCGTCTCTCCCCGAGCGCAAAGCAGCGGCAATAGGTGCGACTAATCTCTATTTCCACCTCGGTTTATCCCGCAAGTCTTCAGGGCGCCTCGTCTTTTAAAATAAACCAACTGTGTTTAGTAACGGCTTGACAGGTGTCGCCTCCAGCGCGCGTTCTATCCTCCTCCTCCTCTTCTTCGTCTCGCGCCGAGGCTGCGCGCGGTGTTGTTTCTGTGTGTGTGTGTGTGTGTGTGTGTGTGTGTGTGTGTGTGTGGTGGGGGTGCTCTTTACAGTGGCTCTCTGAGCTCCGTTGCAGGGGTTCAGCAGGTCGCCACGGTCCAGCAATTACCGACAACTCACCAAGCATTAGACTGACAGGTGCACACACATATATAGGCTACACACACACACACACACGCACGCACGCACACAAAGCGCCATAGCTGGTGGTGCTCTGGGGCCGCCTACATGCAGCCAGTTTGGGGGCCCTGATGGAAAATGAGTTGATTTCAGTCCTTGAGGGAAGGAAGGAGAGAGTTTTCTCACACTTGGCAGCAAAGTTGAAAAGAAGCTCGGCTCTATATGTCAGAGTCAGTTGGAGTTTTAATTAAAGCATACAGCCACTGACATGCTGGAAGCCAGAGACGAGGTTCCTCGAGAGTCTGTTCTCAGCTAACGAGTGAGAGTCAACACTGGTTCAACTGATACTGATGTGTTTTAATTCAGACTTTGTGACCAATGATTTTTAATCGCCCATGGTGGCACACCTCGCAATTAATTTGCATTTATTACCTTCGGGCTGTTCTCTCACAAAAGAGTTGCCACGTCTTAGCCCTTTGGGTGCTGCGTATACAGCAATATTAAATGTAGCTTTCAGTGGCAGGATATGGGTGCAAATCACCTGTGCACCTTTATTCCATCCAGATGAGCACGTGTGTGTATTAACTGTTTTATGTGCACAGCTTATCAGCACATGCAGCATCTGTAGAGAGCTCATGTGGGCCCTTTGGGACCCCAGCTCCAGGTGCAGCTACAACACCAGCACCCTCTGGCGCTCTTCCAGAGATGGCTGAGTCTGATTCAGTTGAGGCGACTCATAGTCAGACTCACAGTCTCAATCTGAATGAGACAATATTACAGTAAAATGCAGCCTGGCACATACTGAATTTTTGAATTTGGTGCTGATATCGGTCTTCAAAAGGTGGAACAAACGGAGGAAATATCTCGGCTGATATTCACTTTTATATATGAACAGATAACACAGACATCACTCACATAGTTTTTATAAGAATTGTATCCATGGTATGTGACATTTAAACAGTTTTACAGTGCTCTCTGTAGTGGCATTACTCTTTCTAAATACTCTACATATATATATACCAGATATCTGTGATAAGCTAATATCTCTACCAGAAACTGCTCAAATTACACTTTGCTGTATGTAGACTATTTAATATTTTAATGCAGAATAAGGGTGGACACAATAACATGCAGTCCAGTCCAGTATCTGATGTGTAAAATCATTTGTTGTGCTCATTCATCTCTAGTGCTACACTTCTCTCACTGTGCATTGATTGTAATATTGTTAAACTGCATCACATTATATTGTAATATTTTTCCCCATCATACAAAATCTGATGGTGATGCTAATTGCACACTGTTATAATGGGGGATAATTTTCCAATCTTTTTTTTTACTTAATGAAAAATAGCAGTCATATTCCTACAGGAACTATTAGTGCGTCTGTGGTAAATTACTGTAATTTATGGTCTAGTTATCCCTCACGGTATCCGTTTAATAGCTCTGTGCAGGCAATTATTGTCTAAGTAAAGGTAGGTTGAAGTATGTTAGCTGCTAAATCCCTTCAAATTCAGAGCAAAAAAAAAACATGCAAAGCACTCAAATAACCAACACCTGCAAAGGCAAATGGTCTCATGTTGCAAATCAGAGTTAGAAAAAACAGGTGGTTGGATGAACAGAGCCTGAACAATACGACATGATTTGGACTCAGAGGATCACAGCACATCGAATATTGGTTTGATTTGATGTTGATGAGGTTGCTCATGATTTCATTCTGTATTCATGACCTACTTTGTTTTATACTCAATAAGCTGCTGCAACAAACAAAGTTGGGCAAAAGAGTGAGTACTGTTTTGTTCTTTTTATTGAACAGAAGAACATCTGCACTGATGATTGTAGTTTGTAAGTAAAATACTGTGGTTATGTTCACCTGAACAAACACCACGTGTCTGATTGCTAAACTCATCAGACCACAGAAGGCAAAATAAAACCTATATCACCTTTGCAACCCTTCTCTGTCACATATTTGCATGCTGGTCATATTAGATCATGTTCTTCCAAATGAAATCAGATAAAAACGTTGTCCAAACAAGTTTGTGACATCACTGCAGTATGTTTGCAGTGTTACAGATTTAAAGCAACTTACATTTTGTCCGTTTATGTTTTCTAAGACAAAATACTAAGATTATAAGGCAACAGGCTTTTATCACCTGCCATTGATTTACATTGTGATACTTCAAATTAGATAATCAAACTATGGTGGCGTATCTTTTGAGAAGAAATCAGACCAACACCCTGCCCTTTGTTCACAAGTGGAGGGGTGTGGCTTTATGTAAGATATGCATGCTAGATCTCCACCTTATTGACACCGCACATCTGCAGAAGCACAGTGATGTCACTTGTGACTTATTCTTGCTGCATGGTTCAACTCAACTCAACCCAAATCACTTTTGGTACCAGGTCCTTTTCTCTGTTTTGTTTTCCACAACCCTCAGTGTAGGTGGGATTCTTAACTGATCGCTATAGGGACGCCATGTGAAACTGCTATGACATCATCTTTAACATTTTTGTCTCTCACTGATTGTCCTGTGTCTTTTGTTTTATGTTCTTTGATGGAGTGCATCGCTTGGGTGTCACAGCTAAATTCACTGTATTCCTATGCAGTGACAAGTGTAAAGGCTTTCTGTTTTATTCTATTCTATAACGCTCGTTAATTGCTTTCATCAGCAACCACAGAAAGGTACATCTGCACTTCGTCAGTTGTACGGCATAGTGCACATAGTGTATGGGGTAGTTTTGTGGCCTGACATTTCTAAAAATCTCGGTCAAGTGAAACTAAAAATTGCAGTTGCTATTGATGGTTTCTTGGCTTTTTAAAAATGGCGGATTTGTGTGGGCTGGTATGTGATGTGTTAGTGACAAATCTCTTTGACCAGTCAGAGGTCTGCAGTGTTTTAACTTAACTTTTAATATCTGCTTGGCTTGCTTTGAACCTTGACCAAGGTGGTACTAGAACCAGCACTAGGTACCAAGTACTACACACAACTATATGAAAACCAAAAAAGTAGCCAAAACACTAATTGGTTTCTCAGTCATTGAGCTACCTCCATGTTTGAGTCAAGGATTATAGAAGGTGGATGGTTCAGCCTTGTCAAACATTATAAAATCACTCCCATTGGTAGTTGAGCTAATCGACAGCCTCTGATATCTTTAAGATCAAATATATAAAGATGATCAAAACAAAGATGCAACAATTCACTAAACAGTCCTCTGGAATATACAAAATGTTAGAAAACTGAAAATATATTTGCATCCAGCTTTTGTACAACTTTAAGAGCTCTTGGGGACCTGGGGGTACAACTATTTATTTTAATTAACATGTTAAATTTTTAATTAACTAATGAACCATTTGGTCTTTGAAATGGCCAAAAGCAACGCCCTAATATATGTTGTTGAATCACTTGTGTGGTCTCACCAACAGCTTGAAACATGAAATGAATGGATGATCAAAACTGGAATCAGTTATTTTTGTCTTCATTGAAGAATTCTCCAATCATTTTAGCATTACTAAATAAAGACAGAGAAAAAACTTAAGTTGTCAGTCAGATGTCCAAGACTGTCTCTGTTATATTTATGATGTTATAATTAATTCATCTGGATTTATACATAGACTGACTTGTTTCTCTAATGGCAGTCATCGGTTATTGGTCTAATGACAGTTTAGCCTCCGGGGACGACAGCCAGTATTTCGGGGGTTCCAGTCAGCCAGCGGATATCCGGGTCAAGTCTTCCTCTTTCGTCTGCTGGTCAATATTTACAGTCTTATTAGCTACTTGAGACGTGAGATTGGAGTTAAGGGATGGTGATGTCTATAAACAGATACATTTTAAAAAAGCTAATAAAAAGCTGAGTTAATGTCAGATGATACAGTAGCTGATGGGTTCCAAGATTGCATCCATGCCTGTGCGTTCCACCTCTCTTGCTCTTCACGCAGACTGTTTACCTGCCGCTCAAACATGATTGGTCAATTCTACTCAGACTACAAATGGAAACCAGAATGCTTCCGATACCAGTGAAAACATGGTCCCCTCAGTTGGTCATTAGTCTAACACGTCACCGCCCATTTCCATCAAGTACAGCTCTGGTCAACTCTCTCATGTTTCTAAGCTGCTTGAGATCTCTCCACTCTTGTCACTCTTAGCATTAATTACAAGTGAGCTGCTTTGTGTGGTCGTGTCTGTGCATATGTGGAGGCAGGATAAGAATGTAAAGGTAATTAGCAGCATTCATCACGTCAAATAAAAATGTACTTTCGCACCAGCTCAGCTCAAATAAATACTTTGCTGTGGGTTGTTTTGTTAAATCCTTCAAGAGCATCATTGCAAAGTGAAACACAACGAGATATTTGTGTTGTTATGATCAAAACAGTGTTTCTCTCTGTTCACCGCATTGTCTTTGTACGTC